CGGTAAGCTGCCCGTACTGTAGACGTTGGCGGTGGACTTGGAAATGGACCGAGAGAGTGAGCCGTAGTACTGCGGCGGCGGACTGGGCTCCACGTTTCGGTGACAGTGCTGGTGGTAGTTGTGACTGCCACTCAGCTGACTGCTGCTCACACTTGATCGCCGCACTGGTGGCCGGTTGTTTGTGTTGCCGCCATTGCTGCAAGAGCTCTTGTTGACCAGTGATCGACCCAAAGAATTAAAGTTGGAGCTAGTCGGAATGGACTGCATCGAGGTGGATCGGTTCAGACAGTTGTGATGACTGATATGCGATCCACTACGATGGTAGCCGTTGGCAGTCAACTTCGGCAGAGTGTTCGTAGGCGGAAGTGAGAGATTAAAGTTGGAAATAGGTCGCGGAATGAGACTGGGTCGCAGCTCAATCAGCGAACTGTAGCCACTGTTGCGCTGCTGAAAGATGTTACTAACTGACTGGGATCGCTTTCCACTCAGCGCTGAAGTCGTCGCCGCAATGGGCACCACTTTAGGCGTCAGTGTGGGAATCTTCGAGAGGTTGCCGTTTGACAGTCGTCGAGGGTCAGCTCGGTTGTCTCGGTACAGTGACGAGTAGAGCAGCGAACTGTTGGCACTGCCATCGCCACTGCACTGCTGCATTGGATGCGTTCGATGATGATGCTGATGCTGCGAGCTTCCATTGTGGGCAAAGGAAAGGGGCAAACTGACAAAATCATCGTGATTACCGCCCTGTTCACTCATCTCAATTGCCATCATTCGCTGATGGTGCTTGTTAGCGGCGCCATTTGCCGTTCTCGTCGTCTGCTGGCCGCTTCGATGATGCTGATTCTGCTGCTGCTGATTCTGCTGCTGCTGCTGATGCTGATGATGGTGGTGATGATGATGATGATGCTGTCTGTAGTTCTCCTCAAGCTTCGCCATGACCAGCCGATCGCTGCTCTCTGTGACGTCGGAGAGCACCGGCGAGGCGCTGCTGTTAGTGGCCAGAGAGGGGGCAGTGGAGTGCGTCGGCGAACAGCCGCCACCGGTGGAGTTGGTTGCAGAGGAGGAGGAGGCGGAAGAGGAGGAGGAGAGGGCCATCAGCTCATCGATCACATCTTTGCCATCGAGAAATCGCTGCAAATTGTCCCGCTGCTCTGCCGACTGCTGCAGGCCGCGCAGTGACTCTCGAATGCGCATTATGTCGTCNGCCGATCGCTGCTCTCTGTGACGTCGGAGAGCACCGGCGAGGCGCTGCTGTTAGTGGCCAGAGAGGGGGCAGTGGAGTGCGTCGGCGAACAGCCGCCACCGGTGGAGTTGGTTGCAGAGGAGGAGGAGGCGGAAGAGGAGGAGGAGAGGGCCATCAGCTCATCGATCACATCTTTGCCATCGAGAAATCGCTGCAAATTGTCCCGCTGCTCGGCCGACTGCTGCAGGCCGCGCAGTGACTCTCGAATGCGCATTATGTCGTCAATGGAGTCGATCTTGTCGTTGGTCAGCTCGAGCATTCGCTCCACAAACTCAAAGTCGTCCGCCGCCTCGTTGAGGAAGTCAAAGACATTGTTCAGGCTGACCTTTGGTGAACTGATCGACGAGCTGCTGCTTGAACTGCTGCTGCTGCTGCTGCTACTGCTGTGAGAGCTGGTCGATCGCTGATGCTCTTCAGGCAGCTGAAGCTCATCCAGTCGACCCCCACTTGACTGGTGAGGCGACTGGCTGCCGACAGCAGTGTCATCCTTCACTGGTTCCTCCGGTGACCAGTGACCGTTGCCACCGTTGACCGGTNCAATGGAGTCGATCTTGTCGTTGGTCAGCTCGAGCATTCGCTCCACAAACTCAAAGTCGTCCGCCGCCTCGTTGAGGAAGTCAAAGACATTGTTCAGGCTGACCTTTGGTGAACTGATCGACGAGCTGCTGCTTGAACTGCTGCTGCTGCTGCTGCTACTGCTGTGAGAGCTGGTCGATCGCTGATGCTCTTCAGGCATCTGAAGCTCCTCCAGTCGACCCCCACTTGACTGGTGAGGTGACTGGCTGCCGACAGCAGTGTCATCCTTCACTGGTTCCTCTGGTGACCAGTGACCGTTGCCACCGTTGACCGGTGAGTCGGCCGACGTCGTCGTCGTCGTCGTCGTCGCCACCACCGGCAATTTGACAGCGGAGGCTTCACAACCTTTCTCCACATGTTTCTCTGCAGTCCAATCAGGCGCAACTGAAGCCGGATTCATGGCTGCATTACTTTCCACCGTTCCTTCTTTTTCTTCTTCTCCTTCTTTGGAGGTGATTGCCGGGCAAGTGATGGTTGTAGTTGTGTTTGAGGTGGTGGTGGTGCTTGCAGAGATGGTGTCGTCGTAATCAGCTGTAGCCGTCACTGGTAATCGGGGCACTTCCATCGAGGAAGGGAAATTGCTCGTAAATGGCGGCTGTTTGTTGTCAAACCTCAAATTGCCGCCAATCAATCCAATTGCCGCAGTGGCATTTAGAGTCGGTGTCGGAGTAGTCGTCGTCATCGCCGCCGCCGCCACCTCCTCTTCTTCGTCCTCTTCGGTAATGGAGGACAGTTCGCTGTAGGGGGCGAGTATCAGCTCACTGCCGCTGTGGTGAAAAAGGTACCGCGATGAAGACTCCTTCAGGTAGTTCGTGTCCAGCATAAAGTCGTCCTTGTCGTCGTCCACTCGGCTGATGATGTCGTTCTTTATTACGTCAAAGTCCTCATCGTCCTCATCATCATCGTCGCCGTCGTCTTCGCCGTCATCGTGGTCATTCTCCACATCATCAACCTCATCTTCCTCAGCATTTGACTGAACCGCCTTCATTGGGCCAACTTGCTCTACATTTTCACTGGTCATGGTCTCATTGGCAGCAGCAGCAGTAGTAGTCTCCTCCGCCGACTTTGTTGGCGCCAGGTAGTCTGGTGCATTATCACAGTCTCTTCGAGAAACGGTATCAACGGGTATACTGCTCGGAGACTCGAC